AACGCAGTGCCTTCCTCTAAGTCTTCCTCCCAATATGGCCAAGTTGCGAAAACAAGGTCAAACAACTTCCATACAACGAAAGCAGACCGAGACCATTCAAAGGGCCACACCCACTTGGTCTTCATATCTTCGACAAGCTTACATTGGTTTGTTAGTGAAGCCAATTCACTATACCCCATAAACGAAATATGCATTCAAAAAGAAAAGTTCTGTTAGATTGAGGCATTTGGGAATTCTTATAACCCCAGATTTTATTCAAAATCACTTTGATTGGTTTGCGCACCGTTGAATTTGTGCTTTCTTACAGAAGCCTTCTGCCACCATAATTAGTAGCTTGACACTGCTTCAGCTTAGCTATTCCCTACTGAACCTATTCGTAGTCAGATAGTCTGGGACCGACTTCTGTGTACCTTTGAGGGGATTGCACTAAATACTAAATTGTCTCAATAAAACCGAAATGTGTTCACTGTAAACGCAGAGTCTACTTCTAACTTTAGCACATGATTACCCTTCTTCGTGCTCTTACACTCTACACATGCAGATCTTTCCCAACACACAAAGAGCTGCTTAGGAGGTGGAGAAGAGAAGGTTGCATGCAATGGAGTGGTAATAAAGAGTGCTGCCTAGTTCTGGTGACGGAAGCAAGGCCTTGTGGATGATAATAAGAAGTGAGTGCCAGAGCGTGTTAGCCACGGAGGGTTGGGAGACGAAAGATTGGCTGGGAAGTTGACCGGACAAATCTACCGCCCAGAGGAGACCAACGATCTGGAACAAGATTGGCAAATTGGATACCAAAATGGCAGACTTACCAGATGACTGACAAATCAGGAAATAATTAGGCAAATCTGTTAAGGGCTTGATACTTGTGAAAAAGGTGATCGGAAAAGTACCAACTTGCAGCAATTGTGAATTGACGCAGACTGGTTCGCCAGCAGCAGATTTGTGGGCCTATTATCCGACCACAATAGAACATTCGCAGCATACTCGGAGAAGGTGACAGGCCCACTAAAAGCATCTGCCAGCACCAGCTTAAGAAATGGTCTTTCAGTCTTTTTTCTACTTTCACGCTGCCAGCACCAGCTTAAGAAATGCACGTTCAGTCTTTTTTATACTTTCACTCTTCACTATCACTGGTTATCCTCGATAGCAAACATATCTAAACTGGGCAGGTTTGACATCTGAAATATATGAAGTTTATTCACGCTATTTCGTTTATGGTGATCAGCGGACTGTTAGTTTAATCTTTCCCATAATGACATGAGTAGGCCTGACATTTCCATGCTCTTCCAAAATGCACTCTCATCCAGGGCGGTATACAGTCTCAATCTTACCAAGGTATCATCAAAACCTCCATGTTACATGGGAAAATGTCTGGTCCTCCTTGAAATTCACATCTTC